AGCGCTTCACATTGAGCAGTGCCAAAGGTGTACATTCCACATTCCTGCGGCGGGGGACCTGGATAAATGGGACAGCCGCTGGTTATCTGTATACACCAAGTGGTTAAGCCTGACAATGTCCTCATTTTAGAAACCCCAAAGGAACGGACGGTAGTGATGATGCCAATGCTGCTGGAAATGCTGTTGCTCGTGACGTTGATGAGGATTCTGCTGCTGCTGGTGATGATCCTGCTGATGGGGTACAGTCCATGACCCTAACATGACTTAAACTCAACCTCACAGTTGGATGTTTCCAACTATAAAATATAACATCCCAGGTAATGTACGTAGTACTGATAAGTAACTGGATTTATATTGTAGTCATGAGCTCCGTATGCTTAGATCGCTCCTGGTTACCCTTGCAATAGAGACGTTAAGATTGAATTAATGCCTGGTGAAATTAAAGCGCTACCCGAGTTCGACTCCCAGTCACGGAAATTGACAGTGGCGAATTCTATCAGAATAGGTTACGAGCTAACCAATATCCCACCGCCCCCACTTCACTACTCTGCACTGTCTTGCGTGGTGAAGTATGGTCAAACAAACTCCATGACCGACGTGGCGAGGCCTTCATCCAACAGTGGACACAGAGCTGTACATGTGCTTTCCCCGTGTCACTATTGTCGCTGAGATTCAATGACAAGAGACTTGGTGACGCCTGTCAGCTGGCCGGTTAGCTCAGCTGGTTAGAGCGTGGTGCTAATAACGCCAAGGTCGCGGGTTCGATCCCCGTACGGGCCACGACAAATGTTTATTTATTTACACAACGCTACTTGCACGGCGTGAAGAGGGGCCTTCATCCACCAGTGTCTTGACAGCGCTCTCAGCCATTAGATAATCACTAGCCTTTTGCCCGTCCAAGGACGGGTGTATTTCAGTAAATCAGAAACTTGCAAGCGAAAAGCAGACCGCGACGTGATATTCATTGCATCGATGACACAGACCTATTTCATTCTAAGGTTATAATCCCTTTTTCATCACGGCGTGATGTCGTGAGGATTGTAAGTTGACGCTGAGGAGTGACGTCACCCGCTAATTATGATTAATGGTGGGGGGGGGGGGGTCCATGTGGAGGACGTCACCTGTTCATGATTATGTGGAGGACGTCACCTGTTCATGATTATTGAGGGGGGCTGGCCCACGTGGAGTGACGTCACGCGCGGGACACACAGACATTCTGGCGTATTGTAGGAGCTTCCCATGAACACAGAAATGATTCCGTCAACAACGCCACCACGAATTACGAAGCCCATGTATGCATCAACGACGAATGACCCCGCCACGCAACACCTCTATTACTCATCAATATCATCATCAGCCATTCCCTATCCACTGCTGGATGAAGACCCACCCAGGTCCGTCGCCATCATTCTCTCGCGGACGCGAATCGTCCGTGTCACTCCTCCCAAACGCGCACGGGCCGATCTCATCCCTCCATCTACCACCGGCGGTCGCTCGAAACTCCCTCGCCGCTCGCGTTCCCCTGCCATTCCGTCACCAGTCTCGTGACATCGGGCGCTTTCACGCATGAACACGCACGCACACACACACACACGTATTTATTTATTTGTCACGATTGCTACGCATGAATTGATAGCCCAACCCCAAGCGTGATTAATCGCCGCTTGGAAATTCACCTGGCACTTCCCCGCAAACTTGCATAAGCACTGTATACGGCTTGGAAAGGTGTGGCGCTGCGCCAGTGAAGTTTGGTGGTGGGGTGGGTGTCGTTCGGAGTGACGGCCAACACCAGCGACGATTATCTAAACCGGTCCTGGACCTCCCCCCCCCCCCACTAGGTTGACTCAGCCTCAAATGAGGGCGGGGCGTGTAAAACACCGCAACTAGGGAGACAAAGGCGGTCGGGCGTGGTGCTAAACACTCGTCCCGCTCGTGTGCCGTGCTGGCTTTTTTGACAGATGCTACCCGGCAAACAGCACTTGCGCCAAAAGTCTGCTGAGGCTATACGGGGGGGGGTCCTTTGTCTTTGGTGGTGGTGGTGATGGGTTGTGACGTTGGTGGCTGGCTAGGGTAGGGCAGACGCGTCTCAACTCGCTGTAGATACGGCAGCATCACGCCGCCGTCGTCCCAGGGCGTGGTGCCGATAGTTCGGGATTGTGGTGGAGCGGTTTTCGGCAGGATGAAGTTGTTTTGGCCGTGGTTTCTGCCGAACGTCTGCCATCACGATCACGCCCGCCCCCGCCCCTAGACTTGCAGTCACATCGGAATAATGATGTCCTGGAGGAATCCGATGAGCTATAAAGCACACTTTCACAGATGTACGCTAGTTTCACAGTTGTTCAGATGTCCACCGGTACTCACCTACACACCTACCCACCACCACCCAGTGCCGGATGATCCTTAGCAGCACAAGTGGTTACACGTGTAGTAGCTGCAACACGTGTAGCAGCTGCAACATGTGTAGTAGCTGCAACACGTGTAGTAGTAGCTGCTACACGTGTAGTAGCTGCAACACGTGTAGTAGTAGCTGATACACGTGTAGCAGCTGCAACACGTGTAGCAGCTGCTACATGTGTAGTAGCTGCATATGTAGTAGCTACGGCCTCGCCGCACTTTCAAGGGCCCCGCGCTAAATGCTTTCAAGCTATCAATTCCGGTTCAGTGATTCTGCACTTGCTCTATTACTATAGTACTATACCGCCTTCAACTTTTATTAACGACTGGGTGTCTAAGGTGAGCAATTTGTCGTATTATCTGGCTGTATAGCGAATGAAAAAATACAATTACTTTACCATGCAAGTAAAACAAATAGTATTTTTATATTTATGTGTTTTTAATTGATTAATTTAGGGCTCCTATATAACATATGCTACAGGCCCCGCACTAGCTTAATCCGGCACTGCCACCACCACGATAGTAATGCTAACGATGAGATTTGTAACGCCTACAACAATGTCCACCCCTATCACGGACGATAGCCAAGGTGAGTTCCACTCAATAAGTCAGACGATGGAGGTGGCGGGGCTCTCGAAGCGTCTCTTAAAAGTTTGTTCGTTTCTCAGTCCGCTGGTCCTGGCGAGGGTCGCGGCGGCAGCATGTTGAGTAGTGGCGGTCCACACCTCACTTTCCCTGGCGACAGACTACACTATACACTACACTATACACTACACTCTACACTGCAGCAGCGTGTTGAGTAGTGGCGGTCCACACCTCACTTTCCCTGGCGACAGACTCCAGCACTACATCACTATACACTACACTATAGACTACACTATACACTACACTATACACTACACTCTACACTATAGACTACACTATACACTACACTCTACACTGCAGCAGCATGTTGAGTAGTGGCGGTCCACACCTCACTTTCCCTGGCGACAGACTCCAGCACTACATCACTATACACTACACTATACACTACACTATACACTACACTATACACTACACTATACACTACACTCTACACTGCACCAGCGTGTTGAGTAGTGGCGGTCCACACCTCACTTTCCCTGGCGACAGACTCCAGCACTACATCACTATACACTACACTATATACTACACTACGATACACTCCTATACACTACACCATACACTAAACTATGCACTACACTCTACACTACACTATAAACTACGCACGACACTATACACTACACTACTATACACTACACCCTACACTACACTACTATACACTACACTACTATATACTACACCCTACACTACACTTCTATACACTACACTACTATACACTACACCCTACACTACTATACACTACAATATACACTACACTACTATACACTACACTATACACTACACTACTATAAACTACACCCTACACTACACTACTATACACTACACCCTACACTACTATACACTACACTATACACTACTATACACTACACCCTACACTACACTACTATACACTACACCCTACAGTACACTACCATACACTACACTATACACTACACTACTATACACTACACTATACACTACACTACTATATACTACACTACTATACACTACACTGCTATACACTATACTATACACTACACTATTATACACTACTGTACACTACTATATACTACACTGCTATACACTACACTACTATACACTTCACCCTACACTACACTACTATACACTACACTACTATATATTACACTATACACTACACTACTATACACTACACCCTACACTACTATACACTACACTATACACTACACTATACACTACACTACTATACACTTCACCCTACACTACTATACACTACTATATACTACACTGCTATACACTACACTACTATACACTTCACCCTACACTACACTATACACTACACTACTATATACACAGACTCTTAGCTCTTCCTGGGGAATGTGCAGGCGTTCCCAGGCCAGCCGAGCGACATCGTCCCACTCCAGCAGCGTGTCCTTGGCCGGTCCCGGGGTGTAAAAGTAATGACAAATTTATTTGGTGATGGTGCTACGGCTACGTTTTCTAGATGTGCACAAGCACAGCAACAACAACTCAACACATTCGCCAATGTGCTATGATGAAGGGCCATTGCCCCGAAACGTTGCCTATCATGTATTTTGTTGTCATTTTAAGGCCACAGTGTTTTTGACGGATGCGTTGGGTATTTCTTTGAAAGTCGGTGAAGATTCAACACGGACTTGCTGCTGCTGCTGCTGAATGTGCAGCTTGCAGCAGCAGACGATGATGGCCGCGTCCCAGGCGGGAAGGGGAGCTGCCGCAGAGAAACGGAGACCCACAGGGACCCCTGGACACTGCTCCTCAGTGTACAGAGGAGGACGAGGGAGGTTTGCGAGTCGCTCGCCTCCTCCTGCTGCTGCTGCTGAGACTTACCACCGCGAGCTGCAAGGGGCACGGCGACATCCAAACCCATTCATTCATCCCATCTGGCGTTCCTTCCGCCACCCCGACCCTCCCACACACACGCGCGCGCGCACACCCCCTCATCTCCGCCTCCCACCCATCGCACCTCAAACGCGAACGTATTATAAAGAGGGGGTGCGTGACTTCGCCCGGTCTTACTTTGCTGCGTATTCAGTTCCGGCTCCCTCCTCCTCCTCCTGTTGTTCGCGACAATTTTCAGCGTCGAACAAGGCTGTCCAGTCGGCATCTGCTGCCGAAGTGAAGTGTGCTCGTGTGTGTGTGTGCTCGCCGGTGAAACACACGCTTCAAGCGCGAGAGAGCTTATCCTGCAAGTGGCGTGTGTCAGTACGTCTGTGGTGGTACACGTGTATTGTTATTATTAGTCGCATAATAACAATATACACGTAAGCGTAACCGCAGCTGCTCGGACGCGCTGGTCATCTCTCTCGTGCAGTATCGTGCAACTAAGTGGACATCATGCGCTGGATTTCGGTCATCCTGAGTCTCTTCTTGCTCGGCCTGGCAATCGTGAGTAAGCCCCCAACTCCCACCACCACCACCACCACCCTCCATCCACATCACGCCTCTCACTTTACAATATTCGGGTCCATTATTTAATTGGCTCGGCTGATCGGATTATATTTTTGCTCTCTCCGTGGACTTTTTAAATATATATATCATTAACCGGCTCTTCTTCCTGCCACATCTGGTATATGCTTAAACAGAGATTCCCTCCTACACTTACACACAGACCCACGTAGACTCGTGTGCACTTACGTGATGCGCAGACCTAAACAGATAACATACGTTGCGCAGAGACCCATAGACTCGCGTGTACTTACACGATCCGGAGACTTACATAGACACCCGCATACTTGTCTAGAGAACCACAGACTTCCATAGAGACCCATAGACTTGCATAGACACCCACATACTTGTATAAAGAACCAGACTTCCATAGAGACACACAGACTTGTATGAAGAACCACAGGCTTTCATAGAGACTCACATACTCGTATAGAAACCCATAGACTTATACAGAGACGAATTCACATGCGTCTTCTGCTAAGTTAATTGTCGCATGATCGCGTGGGGTCGGTTGTCGGTTCTTCATCCATGAGCTTCTATCCCGTTCCTCCTCTCTCTGTCAGTCACTCTCCTCTCATCTCGCTCCACAGCATCCGCCCATCTCAGCCCCGGTCTCCCTCTACTCCTTCTGCCCTGCACCGATGGCATCCCAATTTCCCTTCTAATCTATGACTCTCTGTGTGAGTGAGTCTATGGGTGTCTGTGTGAGTCTGGCTCTCTGTGTGCGAGTCAATGGCTCTCCGTGTGAATCTATGGATCTGTGTGAGTCGACGGCTGTGCGTGAATCTATGGCTCCCTGTGTTGAGTCTGTGGCTCTCTGCGTGAGTCTATGGCTCTCTGCGTGAGTCTATGGCTCTCTGCGTGAGTCTATGGCTCCCTGTATTGAGTCTATGGCTCCCTGTGTTGAGTCTATGGCTCTCTGCGTGAGTCTATGGCTCCCTGTGTTGCGCCTATGGCTCCCTGTGTTGAGTCTATGGCTCTCTGCGTGAGTCTATGGCTCTCTGTGTTGAGTCTATGGCTCCCTGTGTTGAGTCTATGGCTCTCTGCGTGAGTCTATGGCTCCCTGTATTGAGTCTATGGCTCCCTGTGTTGAGTCTATGGCTCTCTGCGTGAGTCTATGGCTCCCTGTGTTGAGTCTATGGCTCCCTGTGTTGAGTCTATGGCTCTCTGCGTGAGTCTATGGCTCTCTGTGTTGAGTCTATGGCTCTCTGTGTTGAGTCTATGGCTCTCTGTGTTGAGTCTATGGCTCTCTGCGTGAGTCTATGGCTCTCTGCGTGAGTCTATGGCTCTCTGTGTTGAGTCTATGGCTCTCTGTGTTGAGTCTATGGCTCTCTGCGTGAGTCTATGGCTCCCTGTGTTGAGTCTATGGCTCTCTGTGTTCAGTCTATGGCTCTCTGCGTGAGTCTATGGCTCTCTGTGTTGAGTCTATGACTCTCTGTGTTGAGTCTATGGCTCCCTGTGTTGAGTCTATGGCTCTCTGTGTTGAGTCTATGGCTCTCTGTGTTGAGTCTATGGCTCTCTGTGTTGAGTCTATGGCTCTCTGTGAGTCTATGGCTCTCTGCGTGAGTCTATGGCTCTCTGCGTGAGTCTATGGCTCTCTGCGTAAGTCTATGGCTCTCTGCGTAAGTCTATGGCTCTCTGTGTGAGTCTATGGCTCCCTGTGTTGAGTCTATGGCTCTCTGTGTAAGTCTATGGCTTCTTGTGTTGAGTCTGTGGCTCTGTGTTGAGTCTATGGCTCCCTGTGTTGAGTCTATGGCTCTCTGCGTGAGTCTATGGCTCTCTGCGTAAGTCTATGGCTCTCTGCGTGAGTCTGGCTCCCTGTGTTGAGTCTATGGCTCTCTGCGTAAGTTTATGGCTCTATGCGTGAGTCTGTGACTCCCTGTGTTGAGTCTATGGCTCCCTGTGTTGAGTCTATGGCTCTCTGTGTTGAGTCTATGGCTCCCTGTGTGAGTCTATGGCTCCCTGTGTGAGTATATGGCTCCCTGTGTGAGTCTATGGCTCTCTGTGTGTCTGTGGTTCTCTGTGTTGAGTCTATGGCTTTCTACGTGACTTGCCTCCCTCGCCCTCTCGGGAATATTTCTAAAATCCGTTCAGGTCTTAGCTTTGCCGTTCCTCCTCCTTTCCCTTCGAGATTTCCCCAACCTCAACCTCAACATTCTTACCTGTGGCCTCTCTTTCCTCGTGCTACCTTAGCGCTTATTCAGGGCTCAATACCCCACTAAATATTCTCCGGCACCAAATTCGTGGCCTTGAGTTGGTGGCACGTGACTCATAGCCACAGCCATAGCGACGTGTATACTTGACGTGGTGTCCCGGGATGCTGACATTTTTCGGGGTGGCGACACGGAGAAGCTCTGCTGAAATAAATCCCCGCCTACAAATATAAATACTGTCATAGCAATGCCAAACGTTTCGTGATTTACCGAAGAATATTGCAACCCAAGTTCAAGACTTGTTCAGGTAGGTGCTGCTCGCGATTGCTTGGACAATAAAGGACTGTGGTAATAACTGGCTGGACTTCATGTCGTGGTATTTTGACTTTGACCACTCTTACTTAGCACGTTTTTGGAGAATTTAGACAATAGAATGCCTGTCCGTTTCTGTTGAGACCCCCAGAAAATAGACTGCCTGGCCAGTCTCCGATGAAGCCTCTAGACAATAGACTGCCTGGCCGATCTCCGATGAGGTCTCAAGACAATAGACTGCGTGGGGCCAGTTTCCGATGAGGCCTCGAGACAATAGACTGCCTGGCCGGTCTTCGATGAGGATTCTAGACAATAGACTGCCTGGCCGGTCTCCGATGAGGCCTCTAGACAATAGACTGCCTGGCCGGTCTCCGACGAGGCCTCTAGACAATAGACTGCCTGGCCGGTCTCTGATGAGGCCTCTAGACAATAGACTGCCTGGCCGGTCTCTGACGAGGCCTCTAGACAATAGACTGCCTGGCCGGTCTGCGACGAGTCCTCTAGACAATAGACTGCCTGGCCGGTCTCCGACGAGGCCTCTAGACAATAGACTGCCTGGCCGGTCTCCGATGAGGCCTCTAGACAATAGACTGCCTGGCCGGTCTCCGACGAGGCCTCTAGACAATAGACTGCCTGGCCGGGTCTCTATTGAGGACAATAACAATAGTGTACTGGTCGACCGGACCAGTCTCTCACTGGGTGACGTAAAACAAGAATTCCAGTGGTTCTAACCCTTCCCTTCATCTCGGCTTCGGGCCACTCCCTGCTCTGTATAATTCCACCGAGCGTTGTTTTTTTTCAGTGAAGTCGCCCCCCCCCCAGAAATAAAACAAACGTAATGGGGGGGGGGTCAGCCTCCCCCCCCCCCCTCTACTAAAATCCCCACGCGGTGTTTGTGTGTTCAGCCGGGCCGGTTGTGTGAACAGCGGCGCGGATCGCCGCCACCCTTGCCACCTGTGTGCACGGCATTGTCATTCGGGGTCCGTTTAGCGGTGACGGTTTCGTTCAAACTCGGCAGTTTTACCATCGGAAAGGGGGGGCGGGGGGGTATTTATTGTTCTTCCGCCAAATTCGTTCCGATTCGCTGATCTCAAAGATCTCCAGCGAGCGAGCAGAGTTCCACGTCGGCACGTGGAATTAAGGGCCCTCTTTTTATGTCATGAATGCGAGAACATCGCCATAACCGTGCGGGCTCGGTGCAGAGTTGTTCGTTGACCGCCGTTCACTTACCACGACGGTCTTCACCGCCGTTTGGCGTAGTCACAGTCGTGCAACGGTTTGCGGTTTTTTTTGTCCTGTTACACCAACGTAGTAGCCACAAAAGCGGTCCGTTTTGGTGAACCCTGGACGCACCATTCCAATCGATATCCAGGCTCACTCGAGCCTTGCTGAGCTTCCGAATTTTGAAGCAATCGGGCCAGGGATTCCATCGATTTTGTCCTCATAATAATTATAGCAAGTTGCCTTTATTAGGGCCCTCGCACAATGTCTCAAGGCACGAGTGAAGCAAGCCGGGTGTTTGGCGAAGTCACAGTTGATTGATAATAAAGGTTTTTTGGGGGGTTATATCGCGTAAATATATTAATGTGTCGTTAAACCCGCCACCACCCGACACAGCCAATTAATAAGGTTTGTCACGTAAACAGAACGTGCCAATTCGTTACTAGTACAGCACACCGGTGTGTTGGAGAGCAAAGCCACAACATTTACACTCTGAGTACGTTTCGACAGTAATTATAACTAGCTTCATAATATTGTAAATGTTGTGTCTTGATTTCGAACTTGAGTGGTCAGTGAGTGGGCGTCTCTGCCTTGTGAAAATAATAATCATAATAAACAGGGCATTCAGTGGCATCGGCTTCATGAGGCTGCGCTTAACTGATGAGGCACAGCAGAGTTGAGAAACGTTAATCTGAGTGAGTGGGGTCTTGGTGCATGAGTATGTGATTCATCAGGTGAGTGAGACTGGGTGGGGTGAGCGAGTTTCAAGCGAGTGAGTGATTATAATTATTGATGAGGCTTAGAGGTGAGTGACTGAGTAAATCTGGCTTCGTGAATCTGTTTGGTGGGTGAAGTGAGCGATCCTGCATTGAGTTAAGCGAGTGTTGACTGAGTGAGTTTGACTCAAAGACAAATATCCCCGTATAGCCTTAACAGACTGTTGAGGCAAGTGCTGTTATTGAGCACCTATGAAACCTGGCACGACACACTAGATGGTTGGGTGGCCAACACCACGCCCGACCGCCTTTGTATCCCTAGTGGCGATGTTTACACTGAACAAGGTACCAATTTTAGGCTGATTCGACCTAGGAGAGGCCCATGTCCGGTTCAGATAATCATCACTGGTGTTGCCGGGTTCATTGTGAACGTGACTCAACACACACATACAGATACACACACCTCATCTCTCACCTGCTCACCTGCCACAACCGCGCCCGTGGATCGCGAAACAGAGCCCTGGGCGGTCAGTGATTC